TAAGGATCCAAATCAGCAATATAAAGTTGGTGATGGGAAAATTACTATCAAAAGACTAATTTGAAAAATGACAGCTTATAAACTCTCCGATGAGTATAAGATTAAATTATATCGCCAAATAAGAGATAAAATTCGAATATCAATTGCATACATGAATCGACAATTGGAACAAACATTAATGAGTCCTAATGAAAAGTTCTTGGATTGGACTCTTACACAGAGTTCGGGAACTCAAAGACCTCGTAATGTCATTTTAGCATTTCAAATTGGTAGAGATAATTCACAACTTTCTAACAATGCACTGTTTGATCACTGTGATATGAAGAATGCATATATCCAGCTAAATAACGAAAGGTATCCTGAGCAGAACTAACAAATTGATTTTGATAGTAACAATTATGCAGTAGTTTATAAAATGATGATAGATTATGCATCACAGACAAATTGTGCGGTTGCATACAGAGATTATAGGTTTTTACATCCGATTTTCGAATTTGATATCAGTCGGAAAAATGAACGTCTTAAGGACAGTCTTATTGATATGAAGATTAAAGCTGAATTCAATAATAACATTCCTGATAATACACATGCCTATGCTCTGATTCTTTCAGAGAGAATAATTTAATTACAATCTGATGGTGAAAAATGAATATAAATTACTGAAAATTTAAAAATTCTTTTAGATTTATATCTTATTAAAATTATGTATTGTGTAAAATGTCATACAGATGACCGATACTGAGCATGCTCAGTATGTTACGACGAAAAATAATAAAATATTAAAAAACGGACGTTGCTTGATTTGTAAGAAAACTAAAACTTCTTTTGTATCAACAAAAGAAGCAAAAGAAGGAGGTTTTATCTTTTCAATTCCTGCTATCCTAGGAGCTCTAGGCGCTGCAGGGTCTCTGGCAGGAGGAGCTTCTGCCATTGCTAGTGCAGTCAATGAGAAGAAAGCTGATGATAAACTTATAGCAGAAACGAAACGACATAATGAAGCAATGGAAGCTTAAAAGGGATCTGGTTTAAGATTGATCCTAGCGAAAAAAAATCTTCATCGAAAAAAATCTTGTGGAGGAGGTCTCTACTTGAATCCGCCAAGAAAATAATACCCATTAAACCATTATCACAACATAATTTGAAACATTCTTTGAGTATGTTGAAAGTTCCTAGAGTCAGAGATATTTTCATGAGGGATACACTGCCTAGGTCACTTTTTACAACGGAGCGAGGAATTTTGAATCTTGATGTGAAAGAGGGAACTGGAACGCATGGGACTTGTTGGTATAAGGAAAATGATGCTTGTTATTACTTTGATAGTTATGGTTTGACATGTTCTAACGAGTTTAAAACGTATATGAATAAATGCAGCATTTTTTGATCCGCCTATAAAATACAAAAAATGGGTAATGTAATTTGCGGACATTTATGTTTAGAAATATTGAAAAGACTGGAGTATGAGAGATTTTATTCCATCCAATTAGATCTTTATAAGAATGGGTATTAAAATTTTATTAATTTAATATTCTTTAAAAAATGGCAAGTATTAATATCTATGCAAATAATTTGCATCTTTCATCAACTGGCAAAGATGGTGAGGAAGAACCAATTGAAGTATTTCCCCTATAGTCTTTGAAAACTTCAATCGAAACTCTTCGAAATGAACATTCCAAGCTCAATTCAATTATTACAGCCCTGAGAGAAGACTTACAAGTTGAGTTTTCTAATACTGATTTTTAAGTTTGAAATTTTTAGAGTCTACCCTAGAAGATATAGATAAAATTTCAGAGTCTACGATTGGTTCTTCTGAAGAAAAATTGGTTAAACAATTTGATGAGAAAATTGACAGTTTGCAGTCAGCTTTTGATGATAAAGTCAAGAACTTGGAATTGCATGTTGAAGAAAAGCTAATCAAACAAATTGATGAGAAAATCATCAAAATGCAGTAGGTGCTCGATGACAAAGTAAAAAATGTAGAAATTGGTATTAAGGATAAACTAATGAAACAATTTGAAGAGAAAATAAGTAGGTGGCAGATAGGGCTTGATGATAAAGTCAAGAATTCGGAATTGCATATTGAAGAAAATTTGAAACTGATTATTAAAGTTGATGAGGAGATCCATAGAGTACATATGGCGTTTGAAGATTTAGTAAATGAAAAGCTTAAAACTTCAGAATTGTGGATTCATAACCTCGAGTTAAAAATTGATGGAGTTGATCAAGAATTCAAAGCTTGGAGTCCAATTTAGCTTCAATTAATGATGTAAAATTTAACAATATAACAGAACAAGTCATGGAGTTACGAGCGGGGTCAGTTTCGCAGACAAAAATGGAAGATATTATTAATGATATGAAGGATATTAAAAACATATTTCATGAGTTTTCTATAGATATTATATCAAATCAGAATGAAATTAATCAGCTTAAATTGATGGTACAAAATGAAACTGATAAAAACATTGAACTGGACAAAATATTAACTGATCGTATAAATAATCCTAAATAAAGCCTCACGAGTTCGGGAAAGTCTGCAGGCTTTAGATGTTTTACTTTATTAAAATGGCCGGTGTTAATATATTTGAAACAGAAATTAATAGTACACCCATAGCATATCTAAAAGGTCCTCCAGGTATTGGCTTTCAATATCTTGACGCTGATAAAATTTTTGATCTGAATAATCGGAGACTTGCAAATATCTCATATCCAATTGAGGATATGGATGCCGCATGCAAGAGTTATGTTGATGAGGAGGTCGTAAAAGTCGCAAATGTTCATTTGAAGGATTCAGAAATGACTAATAAAAATATATGTTGTGAGGGAGGGTTTCATGGAGCATATCAACTATCTCGAAAAAGAATTGCCTGCAGTAAAATCAATAGTGGAAACTCTTGATGGAAAAGTAACTGAGGAAATGCTGGAAGTGAATTCAAAGTTGGAAACTCATGATGAGGAAGTAAAAACAATTCGGGAAAAATTGAAAAAACAAATGGAAAATTTGGTGTCCTTGAATGAAGAAGTATCCTCATTGAAGAGGATTCAGGTTGCAATTAAAGCGTATATTGATGGTGCTGTTGAAAATATAGCCTCAAAATAAGAACGAACTAGCAGAAGTAATAAGAATTCAAGATCAATTATTTGAACGACTAAGAAAAATTAAACGTCAATGAGTAGCAGACCTTCAAACTGATTTCCAGCTAAATGATAAACATTCTAAGTTTATTAAATCGTCAACTGGATTTTAGAAACTTGGTTAATAAAAATGAGAGCTAATGTACCATATGAAATAATTGATAAACGAAAGATTGACAATGCACTCTACGTATTGTATTTACGGTTCGGTGATGAACGGATTAAAAATATTCGAAAACATAGTGATTTATGATGGAAATAAATTAAACTTAGTAGATGGAAGTTCACTTACACGCTATTGTCATTCGAGGCAGCCTGTGAGAAAAAGAAAGCTTGATGAAATTTGTTAAATAAATAGAAGACGTAATAACAGATGTTCAAAGAGAGGTGATGTTGAATTCCGGAAATATTAATCAGCTGCAGATTGATATTGATAATATTCGCTATGATATTCACCATCTCTCCACTGAAATAAATCAGATTACAATTCAAGTGAATATGTTAGAACAAACATTGAAAATTATTTTAGAAAAAAAACACTAAGAAATGCTCTACACGTGGAGAGACGATAATAAAAATAAACAGAAGAACTACTTTGTATTTCCTTCTCCAAGTTTGAAGTGTCTCATAATCGGAAGTTCGAACTGTGGAAAAACGTCATTGCTATTGAAGTTGCTATTGGTGAACTTTATTGATTTCAACAATCTTTTCCTGTATAGCAAGTCAACTCATCAGCCTGAATTTAAGTTGTTGAAGGACGCTTTCGATAAGGGATATAATAAATCTGAAATTATCAATTTATTTTCTGACTGTTGTGGCAATATTGATGAATATCTCGAAAACCTACCCAAAAACGTCAAAAAATGTGCTATCGAATATTTTGAGAATACTGCTTCTGTGCCTGATCCCCGTGATATAGATCCAATGAAGAAGAATTTGTTCATTTTTGATGAGATTGCTACAGAAAAGAATAAAAATCCTGCTGAAAGTTTTTACACCAGTGGAAGACATAATAACTGTATTTCAATTTATTTATCTCAAAACTATCACATACTACCAAGACAAACCATTAGAACGAATTCAAATTTATTAATTCTATTCGAGTTACCTTTCATCGATATGAAGAATATTCATAGTGATTACATTGCTTGTGATATGCCCTTTGCAGAGTTTCAAAAACTGTGTAATGAAACGTATAAAGTACTTTATAGTTTTGTGTTGATTAATAAAGATGAGCACCCCGGTTCTGGAAAGTATTTAAAAAATTTAAATCAATTATATATTCCACAGAAGTATTTTTCAGGTAACCGCTCTAAGTTATTCTCGGTTAAAGAGCGTGCTCAATTGGGGTAAATGGTCGTTAACTCATCATTCGGGAGTAATTGCTCAATTTTATTGGGCAAGATTTTAGGGTAAATGATCGGTACCCTGTTAAGCTGTTTATGCAAATTCGGGGGTAATTGGTTGTAATAATATTGTAGGAGGTTTTATTCAGGGGTAATTAGTTAATTTGGTTGGCTGAGATTCGGGGTAAGATTGTGGTAACCTATGATTTAAGCTGTTTATGCAAAGTGGTACCATAAGCTCGGTATGCTATCTACGTAAATCCTTGTTACATTACGATTTAATTGCTGACAAATATTCATTAGCGGGCAAAAAATTATTTACCTGTTCAAATGCGGAATACAAAAAATTTTGCCCGCATGTATGAATGCTGGTCATAGTATATCTCAAATATTGCCATTATTCTAGACTTCGTTACTCAAATTACTTTGCCGCTCCATATTTACAATTTAAACTCACATAAATAAGTGTTATAAACTTAGATTTTAAAATTTGAATAATTATTGTCTCTTCTAATATTAACTCACACGCCGCTGCTGCCGTCATGTTTAGGTCTGGACGAAGTACGGTCACGTTCATCATGATCGTCTGAAACACCACGGCGTCTGCGGCCGTTCCAAGCAGCGTAACTATCGTTAACAGCAACAGCGGCCCCGCTCGCTGATGGCCATTGTGAGAAGCCATCCTGAGTACTGAAGTGGTCTGGGGAGGACGACGCGGTCTTTTATAAACTAAATAATGTGACCAATTGAAGGTATTCGGAATTTTATGAAGCCTCACGACTTCTGTTTATGATTGATAGATTTTTGCAGGCTACGATGCTTTATCAAACGCCACGTTAGGTAAATTCTTTAGAATTGTCAAGATGTGAGCAGGTGAAGCTCGAAAAGCATTGGATTCGTGAATTATACGAATTATTTTCTTCGTAATGCCATTAGATGTCCATTCTCAGTTAACGAAGCCTCAGTTCGATGAGGCGCTGAGAATATAGCGGCTTGAAGTTTTCAATTTCATGGGACACCACCAAATCATGCCAATGCTTTTAAGTATATATATATCGTTATCATCTGCTCAGACGCGGTAATGTTAGGGTCAGGACCAAATTTGATGCCACTGTGAGAATTTGGCGGCCAGAAGTTTTCAATTTCATGGAACATCACCAATCTATGCCGATGCCTTTAATCATATTTATACCATTGCCGTCTGCTAAGATGCGGTAATGTTTAGGTCGGGACGAAGTTTGATGGCGCTGTGAGAATTGGGCGCTAGAGACATCATCAATCCATGCTGATGTTTTTAAATCCATTAATGCCATTGCCGGCTGCACTAAATTGAATTTTCGCTTTTTGTGTTCATTTTTTTTCCACAGTAGGTATGATGGAATAAATTTCTAATATTTTTAAAGAAATTCCATCAGAACACTAAAATCAGCTCTGATCATTCTTTCATTTACAAAACCAATCAAAAATTTTATTTATTCAATATTGTCATATATATATATGAATCAATAAAAAGTAAATACCAATTACTCGGTATAATTCAAATTGATGAATGAGGTGGAAAATTTTCAGAAGAACTATATTTGCACCGCATTTGAAATAATAAATAAATATTTTCGAAACAATTATGTTTTTCGATAACTTAGTTCTGGACGATAGGGTGATAAAAATTTTCACTCGAGTCATGTATTTAATTGATAATTAATAATAGTTAAATATGTTAAATATCATAATCACATTATCTTTTGGCTCCTCGCAGTTTATGAAAACATTTTGGTGGCGCACTGAGAATATAAATATCAAAATTTTTAATACATGATATGCCACTTATTACTGCCGATGATCTAATTATTAAGAGCTGCATCGATCTCCATCTAAGACAATGCTCAGTCATTTTTAATTCGCTTCCGCGATTAATTTTCAGCACTTCCTGTCACAAGAAATCAGCAAGTCTCACCTGGTTAACATTATAAGTTTGTTTTCAAAATGAATCAGTCAATATATTAACTCGCGCCATCTAAAAAGATCGTCACGCAAAAAAATTATAATAAATTAACGAGCAATTGGTGAAATTCTACACTCATGCTTTTATCGCATTGAATTTGTCAAACATTTCTAGATATTTAGAAGTAATAGAATAATCGGGTTCATTCAAACTCTACGGAATTACAAACACAGATTTCAGTGTCTGTGGCCCAAATCATTCTATCCTCTCGTGTTCTACCTCAAACGAAATTTTTCCATTTAAGATTCAAATTATTGCTAATATCTACTTATATTTTTTAATTTGGGGGCAGAGCATTATTTATACCCACGTGTGCTCCAATGTTTCAATTGCGCATAATAAATTTCGTTTTGAAGATGCATATTGATTGATTGATTGATTGATTTTTTATTCACAAAGGAGCTCTAGTTACAATTCAAAAGAAAAAAAGAAACACATTTATAAAATAATAGAGACATCCAAGTGAATGCCCATAAGCAGATATGCTTCGCAGGCAACATAGGTGATTTAAAATTCTATTCCAATGATAAGGCAAAGAAGTTAAGAGCAACAGAAAGTTTCTAAATTAAACACATACCAGGAAAAAAGCCTCATGAAAACTGATAACGGGATGTCATTAAAATTAAGCGTAACAAAGCAATATCAATATAACAGTGATTAAAGACGGGTAAAAAATTAAAATATAGAATCAAAAATATTCAGAACCTGCGTGACAAACGAAGGCAAATTAATACTGGTCAAGAATGAATTTACGGAATTTCGTTTTTAAAAGTAATTTGTAACAATCTTTTTTAAAATCTTCATGCAATTCATTAAAATATTTGACGCAGTTAAAAACAGTACCGCTTTTTCTACTTCCAGGCGAATAGCTGGCAAGTTAAATCCTACGCCCCTGGTATTATGGGAATGTTGAGGGACGAGAGAGGCGAAGGCAGACTCAAAAAGACGATGGAAAAAAAATGGAAAAATTCATGGAAAAGTGCCCTATGCATGAATTTTAAAAGCTCAAATTTATACATATCGTCAAGTTTCAAGATTTTAGACTGCTTATATAATACTCTAATGCGAGTCTAAGGAATATTATTGACATCATTCTTAACCCTAAGCATGGAACGCAATGTTTTATTAACTAGCGTAATGACCCGCTTCTTTGTATTAAAAGGTACACCCCTCCCCCCCCAGATTACCAAAGAGTTCGATAGTTTAGTAACAGACAATGCGTAGAAAAGCGTTTTTAACGAAGTAAAAGGTAGGACGCTCGACAATGCCCGCAAAACTCCGTGGGCTTTACTCAGCCCCTGACAGACGTAGTTGATGTGCTTATTGAAGGAAATCTTGTTGTCGAGGATTAAACCAAGATATCTAAATTCGTCGACCCATTGTAAAATTGTGCCATTAAAAGTTATATCACGTTCGACGGAAACGGGTCTAGGAGTAAAAAGCATCAACTTAGTTTTGTCAGTGTGAGCTACTAGCTTGTTATCTAAAAGCCATCTCGACAAATGCTCAGTCAGTTCCGATATGTTATCGCACACTTCTTCGAAGGAACTTCTCGAGACATAAAACTGCGTCGTCGGCAAAAAGTTTGCAGTTCACATTAAGAGATGAAGCAATGTCATTAATAATAATAGTAAAGAAAAGAGGCCCCAGTACAGAGCCTTGTGGCACACCTATATTGCTTGGTTTTATGGGTGAATTGAACTCGTTTAACGCGACGAACTGTTCACTATTCGAGAGGTAAGACTGAATAAGTGAGAGGAAGGTCCCTCTAATACCATAACGGTGTAGCTTCCCTAGAAGAATTCGGTGATTCACACAATCAAAAGCCTTCTGTAGGTCCAGAAAAAGAGCGACACAGTAATCTTTTGAATGGTACGTCATAAGAAGGTCTTGGACTAGATAAAATATAGCCATGGTTGCGTTGCTACCCTTACGGAAAGCAAACTGGTTATCAGATATAATTGGAAATTTATCGAAAAAAGTAATTAGTCTAGAGTGGAGAATTTTTTCAAAAATCTTATTAAGATATGACACGTTGATATAGGACTAATTTAATTAGAGACTTTGTAAGGGTCACCCGATTTAAAAATAGGTATAACTCGAGCTCGTTTCAGTGAATTAGGATACACTCCTGTGGACATACAGAAGTTAAAAATATGCGCTAAGACTAGCGCTACAGTGTCAGCTACAAGATACAATATTCTTGGCTGAAATTCATAGACCTGAAGTTATTTGCCCTTGCACAGTCGCAAAATTTGCTTTATCTCAAATTCAGACGTAGGAAAAAGGAAGCAGGATGCCTCACAGGAGGGAATTTCATTCATCAAATTATCGTTCACAGGACCCAAGTTTTTTGTGATATCGTTAGCAACAGAGATGAAATAATTGTTAAATTCAGTTGCTGCGTCGGTACCGGAAATTATCTCATTCTTTTTTAACAATTCATTTCTTTTTTAAAAACATTTTTACAAGCAAGTTGTTGACAATTTTTCAAAGAACCTTTGAGTCATTCGACGCCTGCTCGATTTTGGCTGCGTAGAATTGCTTCTTGACAGTCTTGATTGACGCATTTAGGACATTTCGATGAGTGGCATATGATCGACGAAGAATTACACCAGATCGGGAGAGCTTCAGAAGCTTATGTTTCTTCTTGATAGCAGACTAAATATCAGCTGTCAACCAGGGAGGCTTATGTTTTTTTTACTGATACAAACTTTATGGGAAATGATTCATTATAAATTTTAGAAAGTTCGCATATAAAGGAGTGCATTGCTGCGTTAGGTTCGTTAATATTTGAAAGAAATGCCGATGGAAAAAGTCTCATGTTTTCCGTGAACTTATAAATATTTTCATCATTAATCACGTGAATTTTCCTCAGAAGTTAAACAAACGGAAATTTGGTTTCAAAGTGAAAGAACGTCATCAAGTGATCAGACAAGTCGCAGTCAACAACGGCTGAATGGGGATTGGATCCAAAAGAAAAGTTACTCCAGATATGGTCAAGTAACGAGAACGGGGTAATGGGGTTTTGAGGAGAGATTCTGGTTGGTTTGGTTATAACTGGATAAACATTGCTACACAGAATTTCATGTATAAAAAATTGGTGGAGCATATATTAAGAGGGTTGTACAGATTTATATTGAAGTCCCCACAAAGAATTGTTTTACTAGTTCCCTTTATTTTTGAAAGAACCTCGACTGAGAACAGTTCATTGAAGGTTCGAATGCTGTTGGAGACGCAAAAGACGCAAAAGATAGATAGCTCAAACGCAGGTAAGCGGACACATAAACTCAAGAGTTTATACTCATTTTCTCCCAAGATAAATCATTATTAACCCTCGCGCTGACCTTTTCATCCACGTAAGCAGTTATACCTCCCCCATGGCAGTTGCGATAAATACTTTACTTGGAAAAACCAGGAATATTAAATACTTGGTCTGAGTTTGGACTCAGCAAGGTTTCCGTTAGTAGAATGATAGTAAATTTAAAATTCACTGAGCTAAGAAAAACCATGAATTGGTCAAAATTTTTACGAATACTTTACGGAATTTTTTTTTTACGAAAACAAACAAGTGAAAAAAATTCGTGGGTAAAGTTTCTTGATCGCTGTAAAAAGGTATCACAGTCAAGGATTTCACAATTCACAACAGGAATATCAGCGACAAGATCATCACTTAGAGACAGAATAGGATAAGTAAATTCAGCCATCATAGTGAA